GCGGCCTGGAAGGCCATCCACTCCAAGGAGTGCAAGGTACTGCAAAAGGTTTCCGCACAAGGCCGACCAGGTCTTCCGACACCTGTGAGAGCTGTTGTTCAGGCGCTAGTCAAGGCAGAAGTTGGCGCTGCGCTTGAGGATTTGGAGGGGAATGACTTGAGCTGGAGGGGAAGTGATAAATGGGCCGACATGGAGATGATGGCCATGGGCGCAAGTGCGTTTGCTGGCCTGGGGACTACTCAAGAGGCTGTGAAAAAGGCTTTGAGCCTTCTATGCAAGGTATGAAATGTAGCATTGTAAGATTGTGTGTGTATTCACTAACATGGTGAGGCAGATTCAAACCAATGCGTTTCATAGATACGATGCTGATATTGGTCAAGTCGGCATCTTTCTAGAACCAAGGCTTGCCATGGCAAACCACTCGTGCATTCCAAATGCCACAGTGCAGTTTGTCGGCAGGAGAGCTATTCTGAGGGCAGAGAGGCCGATCAAGGCTGACGAAGAGATCGAGATATCTTATACAGGTCTGTTCCCATCTTAATAAGGTAGCACCCAAAGCGTCGACTAACAGTTTCTCAGACTACAACTACCCCCTATCCAAACGAAAGGAAGCGCTTGCTCCCTACTTTTTCACCTGCGAATGCACTCGCTGCAGGCAAGATCTGATCAACTACCAAGTGTGCGCCCAATCTCCCGTCATCGACATGAACCGTCAGGGCGTCGTCTCAGACCTCTCAAAGCTGCGTGAGCACCCAGCAGGCATAGACGGGGACAAAGCTTCGTTGGGGAGAGAATACAGTGAGAAGCTAGTCGACCTCATCGATTCAGAGGAAACGTCTGCTTCGCTGGAGGAGCGCCGTGCAGTTCTACAAACCTGGTATAAGAAATGCCAAGGGCTGATCTCCGAAAACATGTGGGCGGTATCACCTCTGCCGCAACTCTTGACTGAGATATCCATTCTCTACGCAGAGGAAGGCAACTTTGTGTACGCTCTGGCAACAGCATGCCATATCGCTACGGCCTGCGACCCATATCGACATGTGGCGCCGTTTCACCCGGTCCGTATAAAGGGTCTCTTCCTCGTCGCAAAGCTTCTCGCCAACACGGCAGCCGACACAGCCTCCCTGGGCAACTCCCCGGCTGTCGCAGCAAGAGGGGGCCTTAACCAACGAGCACTACAGGCCCTCCAGGACATTGATCAAGTATCGTTGTGTCAGATGCTTCTCATCATGGTCCTCAAGTCGATCCCAGCAGATTACATCCAAGAGTGGGAGCTCTCCATCTCGGCAAAGCAGATGCTGGACGAGATCAAGCAGTTGCCAGGCAGAGGTCAAGAACAGTCTTTGATTAGCCTGTGGGAAGAGGATCCAGAACAGGACCAGGCGCAGGCGTTCTTCAAGTATGCCGTGTTGAAGCAAGTTGATGCTCTATCAGACCTTGGGTTGGAAATGCTCAAGATGGACTTTGGTCGATGAGTTTGAATAGTATAGAAAGATCAGGGCCCCAATAGGACACTGCTCGAAGGCCTCCTATTCGTTACTCGTTTGAAACAATTGAATGCAATGTCGCGTTAATCGTCGAAACGCGTAAAGTAGTTCGCGCACTATCACGACAAAGACCCCACGTGATTGGTCGATCTTGGATCCGCTTATCTTATCGTACCTTCCCTCTTCTAAAAATTAAGTCGCAAAAAGTACGTACCCTGGTTCGCATGGAAATCTCAGCTACACTGCACTCCAAGCTTCGTAGCTTTCCTCCCTCTGACAACATCTTCTTTACGATACCCAATCCAAGCGGCGCGCACTTTTCGCGCTCGCATAAATACAGCATGGGTAAGAAAACGAGGAGAAAGTCCAACCGGTCCGTCGACAAAACCCTTACCGCCGCCCTAGGAGCCGAATCCGACCTCGAGCCCGGTCAACAGGCATCCTCCGCCGAGTCTCACGATGTGACCCAGCAACTAGAGAAGCCCAATGACGCCGGAGATGTAGCGCCGACTGTTGAGAAGGAGACTCCGACCCAGAGCGACGGGAGTCTCAAGCGCGCGACGCCCCATGATGCCGACGATGACGATGGAGGGTGGCAGGTTGTTTCGCGAGCAAACAAGAAGCTCAAGAAGATTCCCAAGCCTGGCAAGAACTATCCCACCATTGCGTTTTCGCCCAACGCCCGACTCCAGTCCAAGATCAACATCTCGCAGCTGAGAGACCTGGTAACATATATCTTCGCCGACGGTCCTGGCCCCCAGTGGATCGGCATCACCCATCGTCCTGCCTTTCGCAAGATTGTTGCCATTATGATACCCGGCCTTGAAGAGGCCATGTTCAAGGATACGGTGGACTTTGAGACGTACAACGACGTCGTAAGAGGAGAGGTTTCCATCGGATCATCACCCGACGACTATTATCCTAGGGCGCTAAAGAAGGAACGTTTGCCAGAGGTGCTGCAGCCATTTGCGGACATGTTCACACATCTGTGGCCCGTCAAGACGCCAGGCGACGACAAGCATGGAAAGATGCACTCACCAATGGCAGCCTTTCTGACAGCACCTATTCCCAAGGACAAGGTCAACAACAAGAAGGGCGTCAAGCCAGCATCAGAGCCTCAGGGTTGGAAAAACCAGAGGACCCGCATCACAGAGTTCCTATGCAGTGCTGATGAGCTGAGTGATAACGGCTATCTAGTTCATCCAGCTTTGCTACCAGAGGGTGTCGCCAGGGATGGGTTTGTTGCCCCCGAAGGCTGGGTGGTGACCAAGGTGGACAAGCTTAAGGATGGGGAACTCCCTGAGGAAGAGATCCAGCAGGGCAGCATCACGGCGGGCCGAGAAGTCTTGGCCCTTGACTGCGAGATGTGCATGACTGGTGAGAACGAGTTCTCCCTGACGCGCATCAGCATAATCAACTGGACCGGCGACGTGGTACTTGATGAGTTGGTCAAGCCCGACAAGCCCATTGTTGACTACGTCACCCAGTTCTCTGGCATCACAGAAGAGATGCTCGCACCTGTAACAACTACCCTACGCGATATTCAGGAGAAGCTCCTGGAGATTCTACACCCTCGTACAATCTTGGTCGGCCATTCCTTGGAGTCTGACACCAAGGCCCTCCAGATTTCTCACCCTTTCATCGTCGACACCTCCATCATCTTCCCCCACCCTCGCGGACCTCCTCTCAAGTCCTCCCTCAAGTGGCTTGCGCAAAAATACTTGTCCAAGGAGATTCAAAAGGGCGGCGCCAACGGCCACGACAGCATCGAGGATGCCAAGACCTGTCTCGATCTGGTCAAGCAAAAGTGCGAAAAGGGCAAGGCCTGGGGAACATCGGACGCCCAAGGCGAGAACCTCTTCCGAAGGCTGGCGCGAGCAGGTACCGCGTACAAGGCTCAGGGGGGAGAAGCCGGAGGCTTAGAGGTTGGCAAGACCAGCGCTGCTGTAGATTGGGGCGACCCGTCCAAGAGCGCCGGAGGCGGTGCGACACATCAACTCGGCTGTAAGAATGATGAGGATGTGACCAACAACGTCATCCGCGCCGTCAAAGGAGACGAAGACGGTCTCGAGATCCGCGGTGGAGGCGTCGACTTTGTATGGGCCAGGATGCGTGAGCTCGAGGCCCTCCAAGGCTGGTGGAACCGTAACCGTATCGACAACCCCAGCAGCGATGGTGGTCCACCACAAGATGGAAGCGACGATGCCTCATCGTCCTCATCCAAGTCCCAGTTGGAGCAAGCCCTCGGCCGCCTCACGGAGCGTCTCGGGCGCATCTACGAGGCCCTCCCCCCCTGCACCGCCTTCATGCTGTACAGCGGCTCGGGTGACCCGCGAGAGATGTCCCGCCTGCAGAAGATTCAGTCGCAGTGGCGCAAGGAGTACAACACGCCCGGCAAGAAGTGGGACGAGCTGAGCGTCAAGTGGACCGACACGGAGGAGCAGGCTCTCAAGGCGGCAGCTCGCAAGGCCCGGGCCGGCATCGGCTTTGTGAGCGTCAAGTGAATGAATGATGGATTTGATTTGAATATCTGGGCATGTATTCTAAAATGGATGGTCTATTATGTAGAGGCTACAACATGTAATGAAACAAAAGGGCCTGGTTTACATGGGAAAAGGGGGTATATGGAGTAGTGGTCCAAGAGAGCCACTTCCCTTGTCTTGACCTACATACACTTGGTATTTGTCTCGGTACAAAGAGCCCCGCGATAGAGACGAATGAAAAGGATAAAAGCAGCTCTATCATGACAGATTACAAGGCATATCATTACTACTTCTCATGAGAATTCAACCAAACGTGAGCCGCTTATTTTCCCTTTCCCATCTCTTTGCTCTCGAAAGATGGGAAATGAACAAACTCTCGCAGGAACGAAAAAACACCACAGCAACAACATCAATATATATGCCACACACACCCCCTCCCAAAAGTCTCTTTCCGGTATCCGTACCGTCCTGCCAAACACACAAAAAAAAAGCATCACATGTGCGTGCTACAACCTTTCCTTTATCCCCCCCTTCCGCCTCGCCCTCCATTTGTGCGTTTCCCATCCTGTCCCCGTTATTTCCCTTAATGGCCCAGGTTTTTTGTTACGCCAACGCTAGTATGGACATTCTCAAAAATGACATTTCCCAAAAGACAACAAAGGAAAAGGGCAAGACTAATAAAAAAAAAAAAGACAAAGTGATGGAATCAAATCGACAGATGTTGAACCGATAAAACGCCTGCTTGTTTCGCTATACTTTCATGGCCCGGGTCCCTCCCGAGATTCGATTCTTGTGCCGTCGTCTCCAAGCGAGACGACCGAGTCGGCGCGTGTGTGCGCGAGTCCAAGGTGCTTGTGCTTGTGCGCCTCGTTCTATAACATGGATGGATTACATTGTAGTTGACCTCCTCCGAATCATAAAGAAATATTAAGGTGTAGTCCCGTAAAGGGGTTCTTGTGAGGTCTTGTGGTAGAGTGTGTAACGAGGGTCGTGTTTAAGTAAAAGGGCCGTGGCCATGTAAGAAGGAGCATCAGGTCCGAGGTCTTCGTGGGGCTTCATCGACCAGCTCTGCCGAGCTACCGAGGAGATCAACATCGCGGTGTAACGGGTCAACTCGGCTGACACCGTGCTGTGATACCACTCCAAAGCTGGCTGGTCGTTCATCACGCCCTCCGTGGAGATCAATCTGAGAGAATTCGCCCGGGAACTCTATCGACGAGTTGGACGAGAGTCGCTTCTGGGAGTTGGTGCGCTCGAACGGTAGTCTTGATGATGCAGACAGAGTTGCCCGGTGATGGCTCGAAGTACGGCTTACTGCGTCGAGATCCCGCAACTGAGAATCAAAGGACAGTGTCGAACCAGGCATGTCGATGTTGAGAGACGGTGCCCGGCTGTGGTCACTTCCTCCAAAGTGGCCAGATGCTCTCTTGGAGCTCTTTCGAGGAATCTCAGGGGCGTCCTGTTCAGCAGCCTCACGAAGTGCAATGTGCTGTGGTTTCTTAGACAGCACCTTGCTCGGCTCCCTTGGGAATCCGTCACCATCGTTGCTGAAAGTACGTCGAGGTCGCTCCAGAACGGGGCTCTCTGGCTCTGATTCTTGAGGATCACCGTTGTCATCAAGCAGGTCACCCTCCTGATGTCTGCCAGGGGAGCGTCCAGGGGAGCGTCTTGGCTCGGGTTCGTCGTCGTCGTCCGAGTCAATAGGTCCGTTCCGCAGCACCCCCATAGCCACAGGGATGCCCTCAGGCGGTGATTCACCACCGTTCCGGGCCATCATCGCCGGCGGCATTCGTGAGCTTCTTACAACTTCGAAGCCCTTGCCCTTCTCCTTCGTCTTGCCACCAAAGAAGCCTCGGAACCATCCTGAGGCAGTGGCCACAGGTCCCGTTGGGTCAGCGGGTCCGGTTCCGAGCTTCCGGCCCGGGCCATCCGAGTTCAGGGCCGGTCCGCGGACACCGTAGTAAAAGTCCACCTCACGGGTCGCGTAATCTGGGCGGTTCGGCGGGAAGCTAAGCTGAGAATATCCAGCAGCAGGAGGCACAGCTGGAGTTGCACCCCGAGAGATTTCCGCACCAATATCTGCGGGATCGCCCAGAGTACCTGGGGCAGGTGGTTTGGTTTCTGCTGTCAGGGAATCGTTCGCCTTATCCGAGTGGATTGACTCGTTCATGGTCTGGCGACGACGAGGAGGTCGATAATAGGGGTCGGCTGCGTCCATTGACTGTGAGGGATGATGACGGACCACGCCGGGCGAAGGCAAAAAGGAAAATGTGCTCGTTTCTCCAGGCGTGTTTGGCATGTACGAGCTGCCACTGTCAACGTTTTGCGGCATAGCAGAGTAGACGTCGATACTATCGAGTGCCGAGCTGCTCCGATGTCGAGGGATAGCCATCATTCCACCCAGGCTTGCACCAGATTCGCTTCGAAGTCTTCCACTCGGCATCACGTATCCCGACTTGCCACCATCGTCGGCGTCCAACATGGCTGCTGTCGACAATTGGCTTGCTCTGGACGGACCGGTATTACGGTGTGTGACCCGTCGGGACAGTTGTCGCATACCAAAGATCTTGGAGAGTCCACCACGGGTCAGTCCTCGCACATCGTCTCCACCGGCGCCCAGCATGCGAGCCACAACCTCGATAATGGTTTGCAGAGCGTTGAGGAAGAAGCCAAAGATCAGGGCTACACCGTGGATGGCCAGGATAACATAGCCAATCCATCCCTTCTCTCCCTCGGCCACACCCAGCGTAGGCACAAATGCCACCATGAGTAAGATGGAGAAAAGTCGAAGCGAGCAGAAGAAAGTGTGGTACGCGTTCATCGAGGTCGCACGCTGGAACGGGCGGAAGGCGTGGATCGAGAGGACATGGATGACTTCGCAAATGGCGAGAATAACCACCTGTGCAATACCGCTCGGCTGTACCGCACCCACAGCGATGCCCCGCAGGAAAGTCATGAAGACGGGGATGAGAGCAAACGCGGCGGCCTCGTCGGAGTATGTGTTATAGAGCGGGCCATATAGGAGGACGGTCGGTAGGTCGTCGTACAGAACAGACTTTGGCCGTGTCTTGATAACAAGCCAAAAGAGATAAGATGCAAATATGATGAGAAGAACGAGGGTGACGACAGCCAAAGCGATGGTGTAGACCGGAGAGCCGCTCGCAATGACAAGCTGGAAGCACGATAGGGCGACAATAGGGAATAGGAAGTAGTTGAAGACGATTCGGACGACGTTGCCGACGGAAAAGGGGACATTCTTTGACCGGAGATCTTCTTCGGGGGTGTTGTTGATCTTTCGATATAGCCACTGGACGAGAAAGCCGGCCTGGATCAGAACCGTTACGCTTCCGATGCAGACAAAGAGCCAGACCATCATGCCAGCCCAGGCGTCTTTGCCCTCCGACATGCCGACCAATTGCCCAAGCCTCTGCAGTCCGTAGGTCCCGTTAGTGACGTAAATGCCGTCAACGACACTCTGCCATGCCGGTGCATCTGCAACGAAGCTCTGGTTGAACATGAGGGTCGACCACGCCATCTGACTGACAATGGGCTGGTAGAAGCCGGGGTAATCGAGGGTGAGGCCACCGGTCAGAGCAACGAACTGGATGTACTGAAGACAATCGCCAAAACCCGGTGTGACCAGTCGAAGCAAGTCAGCATCGCGGCCATAATTAGAGGTCCAGTGAAAGACGTCAGATGAGCCCCATGGGCTGAAGATTGCCGCAAAGCAGATTGCGAATCCAGTGAAGAGCAAAATAACTAGAGGCAAAAACTTGAGAAGCCAAGAAAGACCACCCAGGTCTGGAGTTAGCGTAACAGTGGCGCATCCAATGTGAGTGGCCTTTCGGTCACCATCAATAATGAGCAATGTCGAGGCGAGAGAGGAAAACGCATAGGAAGCACTCATGTCGTGGGAAAGGTTCACCGAGGGGAGCTTGCCGCGGGCATCGCTGTAGTTACCAGTTAGCTAATAGCCCATATAAAATCCCCAGATCAATCGTTGACCTGGATGAGTTAAATCAACGGACGGATAACCTACCTGTACTGGACCTCCCCGAAAACGGGAGGGAGCGGACAAGAGCCATTGACCAAGCCCTTGTCACAGAAATCCGTATTGTCGTAGAATGGCCGATACGAGAGGAATTCCACCTTGCGGATCAAGGTGGTAGCCGTGTCAAAACCCTGTTCCGGAAGCTGAACAATCTTGCCATTCGTCTTGTTAGGGTCTTTCCAGTAGGGATCATCAGCTGGAGGGAGTTCTCCTGTGGTTCGGGCTCCCGTGACATTCCCCCAAACAGTGAGCTGGAGCTTGTGGGTATCGTTTTTGAGGTCGAAGAAAGCCTCGGCGTACAAAGGAACCCACTGCATCAAGGCTGGGTCATGGAAGCGATAAGAGTCGTCGAGGCAGTTGCTGACGGAAACCCTGACGGCGTCGGCGGAAGATATGTGAAGAGCAAAGAGGATTGCGATTATTAGGTTGGTGGTAAGCCGTGATATCGTGCCAAGTCGAGGGGGCCATGCCCTTTGTCGAGGATAGATCCGTGACATGATTGAGGAAGAAGGTTGATGTGAAGGAGTCGAAGAGCTAGGAGAGCCCATGGTAGCGAGTGTGGTGGGCGCAAAGCCAGAAATTTGACGCTTCGATAATGGTGCTACATGTCGCTTCCGGGGCAGGTCCTGGCTGAGGCCGCGATCGTGGGCGCGAGGGCGGGAATCCTGCTCGCAGTCGGGTAGGCGTTGAAGGGCCAGACCAGACGGCATAGCTCTTTCGAGGTTTGTCCCAGGTGCGGTGCTGAGATTAGTAGAGAGGATTGGGCTGCCAGAGGTGAGAAGAGGAAGCCCAGGCAAGGGGCGTGAAGCTGGAACACGAGCTGGCGGGATCGGGGGATCGGGGTTGGCTCAGACGACGGTCATCTTGGTGTCGAGAAAGGGAACCTGACCCGGCGGTAGTTTGAGACCTAGGAGAGCGCGCGGGGGGAGATGGATATGATTGCAGCGAAGCGAACGACGGAATCTCTCGACGGGGGAAACGGTCAAGTCTGGATGGCGTGGGAAGATGTTTCGTAGTAGAGTAGTAGGTTGATGGAGTTGGGTGTCGAATGAACTAAACGGCCGACAATACGGGAAGCGAGCGAGTGAGAGAAGAGAGTGTGAGGGAGAGAAAAAAAAAGTGTCCAACAAAGATAGGTAGGAAGCGACCTCGTTGGACCAACCGCAGCAGAGTGCGTGTGCTGTGCTCGCTGTGCAGGTGTGTGCGTTGCGTTGCGTTGCGTGCGTTGTGTCAGTTCTGCGAGTGTGCCTTGATCCGCAGACCGTGATGGGGATTGAAAGGATCCATGGATTTTTGGGGGGGCGAGAGAAACGACGAGGGATGGGGGGGTGTGGTGTGTGTGAGGTGGTTGATGATGGATGGATGTACCCAGTACTTTGGACAGTTTCAGAGGAATTCCCAGTGTCAGCACGGGGGAAATGGGGCTCCAGAGCGGTGGGTGGGATGGGAGCTGGATGCGGCCGGGGACTTCCCTAGGGTGCTTCACGAAACCCGCCCGCACTCCATGCTGAGCTGAGGTACGGGAGCTGCTAGGACACGCTATAATTAAGCCGCAGGCGGCCCTGTGAGACTCCCCCCCGGACTGGACGGCAGTGGATGGAACCCAGTAACAGTAAGCGTACCTTAGGTAGGGGGTTCCATCTCGTACTGCGAACGGCCATGGTGGACGATCCCCCTGTGATGGGATCTGCGGATTATGTGAGCTCGAGTTCAGTCGTTCATTACGAGTTTCAAGGTCCTTCGTCTATAATTCCCGATGACAGGACCTTTTCATCCCCCCGTTTGCATGAAATTCCAGGGACGATATTTTTTTGTGGAAGGAAAAAAAGGGACTGGATCTTCCATTGAGCTATCGGTACCTCCCCGTCCTACCTGTACCTAGCTTGGGGCGTTGTGGCTGGGTTTGACGCTAAAGATCGGATGTCCTATCTTTATCTCAGGTCACCCTGATTCAAACAAATCCAACAACTGCATTCCCTCCTTGATGAGAACAGAACAGATTCTATGTATCTAATTTGAATAAATAAAAGGGTCCCCTCCTGTAATTATCTACATGCACACAATCCTCCCTCGAGCATCCCGCATACGATGAAACCCTCAACTCTTTTTTTTTATTGTGTCTTGTCAGATGTAAGAGCCTCCATCCCCCCCGTCCAGCTTTTTAGCGCCAGAGGAAAGTACCAGGTACATCGTTCTGCAGCTCTCGTAAAAGGATGGGATCCTGGAACGTTTTTTTTTTTTCTCCCACTGCACCACCCCAAGTCCGAGCGCTAGACCGCGACGGGGCCCTGTACGTCATGGCGTGCGGCTTGGATTTGTGCTGGCGCGAGCGAGAACTCCGAAAACTGTCGTTGTCGATTGCTTAAACGGGAAACGGCCGGTCTGTAACTGAGGAAGAAAAGATATGATGGCGACGTTTTCGTCGATGTACTTGAACAAGAGTTTCATCAATCGTCAATTCATCGATCTTCTTTCATCTACTCGACCTTGTCAAACTCTTCTCAGCTCACAATTTCTTTTTCTTCCAAATCATAACCCCAAACATGCAGGGAGCCGATAGTCTCCACGGATCCGTTCCCCCATCCATCGTCAGCATCAGCCACAGCCACAACAAACGCGTGCCCAAGCCCTTTTCGCTTCCTGCTTCAGCTACTCCGTTAGGTCTGGTCCTCGTCCATCACGCAACAACGTTGTATTTCCTTGGTGTGCATGGCATATTGTACGGAATGGTCCCCTTACGGTTTGTAAAAAGGGTCACCGTAACGTGCTTTTTGCTGCTGACTGTCTCTCGCCTATTACAACCATCCATCACCAAAACCTCACCTCACTCTGGCAGTCTCGACATTTATCAGCGTCAAACCACGTGTTTGCGCTGACAGATCTACTACGTAGTAGTCACGATGCTGTGCTAAAACTGGAACAGTACAGTAGAACATGAACCTCCCCGTCATGCCGCGGTTGAACAATTCGCCAAGTCCCTCTCTCCGCCTCCGCCTCCGTCGCCTCATGCCATACTGTACCATCCCATCCCGTCCACCGACGGAGCATCCATCATTCATCCCTTCTCTGTCGGGGCGCCGGCCACTCAACCAGCAGCTCCAGCTCGTGGTCCATAAAAATTCCCACGAGGAGCAGCGCAGCAGCAAGCGCAGATACGAGGCGGCACTGGGTTGCCCGTAGGTGGTGCCCTACTGTGCTTGTGCTGGTCTCTCAGGTCGGGTCCAAGTCCTTGGCGGGTCCCCCTCCATCCATCCATGGATTCGCCTGTGCCCCCATTCGCTCGCTCGCTGAATCATCGACGAGGGTGGCCTGGTAAGCTTGGGTCGAAAATAAGAGGGAAAGGAATAAAAACAGCACCAGACGCTCTATTTTGAGAAACAGCTCCAGTCGGCCGCCGTTCCGGTCATCTCTTTCTTTCTACTGTATGTCTGTTTGTTTACTTGCCGTACATATGGATACAGTACGAGGTTTCTCTTCAGCTGCCATTGCCGGCCTGCCCCCTTTTTTTTCTCTTCGGTAAAAAGTAACGAGACGGCAGTCCCGTCGGATATCCATCTCGACTTGTCCGATGGAGTCGAACCATGCCATACCGTTGGTTCGATCAAGGATCCATTCATCCATCCATTCGGCCAAGACTAACGCTGCACGTCGTATCTTATCAACTCGCCGCCCTCTTCCTTGTTTGCTTGTTCGCCTGCTTCCTCAGTCAAGCCATTCGTATATGCCCCGTGCTTCGTCTGATTCTCTCATGGCTTTAAAACATGGGGAAATAAATCCGCACAATAACAACTTCCATCATATTCTCTTCTCCCTTAACGTCACGTCATCATCATAGAGTCTTGGGAGATCCATCCCACGACACCCTCTGCCCTGGGACTGTCTCACCCTTACACACACACATTGCTGAAGCTTTCATTCACTCGCCCACCACACTGAAGATGGACCATCCATCCTTTTCCCTTCTTTGTTCAAGAGTGATTATTAGGGTCCCGCCGGCCGCGTGGCCGGTGCACAGAGACCCAAACTCTGTCTCTCCCATGTACTACACGTGCTCGTCAACCAAGACATATCCCAGCTCAGGTCGCACCTTGACAGCTTCAGAGGAGACATGTAATTTCTTTCAAACTTGACATCTAATCCCATATTGCCTCCTCTACACTCGCTTCAGCAATTCCATCTCATCTCCAGCTGCCTCCACTCTTATCTCCTTGGCGTGAGTTGTCTTCTCAAGCCCAGCCTCCAGTTACATTACATACACTATCCCTGCCCTGTCCTGCCCTTGTCTTGTTATTCCCCGTCGCCATCCATCACATCACCCCACCACCTCCAATCGAAACCTGCCCGATTCTTGCTCCCAGCCAAGTCCCAGCTACAGACCAGACCAACCCTCTCTCGGCTCCCGGCAGCCACACTAGCTAGATCGGGCTTGTCTTAGATTCAACCATTCTCGCCGTCAACTTAGTTCCATTCACTAGTGACCTTGTTAGCCAGGCGGTGGAAGGAAAAATCGGGACTGCAAGAGAGACTGACAGAAATATCCGAGCCTTTTTGTATATGACTTGCGGGAGGTGTGACCTACTAATTTTTGCTACCTAGGTACTTTTGCCCCTTGGAGTCCCGTTTCTTTCTTCCACCGCCTGTTAGCCTTCTGAACTGTACAGTACTGTTCAGTCCAGTGCTACCTAGTTGCCTTGTCATCCAGCCAATCTCCCATCCTCTCTCCGTTTCCGTGGATGCTTCATCAATTCATTAATTAAATCGTCTCTAAGATATGTAGCCGCCGTCATTAACTCCCCTTGCGTCCATTCAAGGAGATATCGTTACGCCTTTACCCGAAACAACACTCTATGTTCTTAATTTCCCCTTTGCTCCAGTTCGCAGCGTGTATTCCACCTCAACTGATGGCATCTCTCTCACCCATGACCCCACCACCTGCCGCAGAAGCTTGTCCACTTCCTCCACCTCGTCCAGGCTCTTGAACTGCAAGCCTGCCTCTCTACCTCGTTGCTCCCCATGTACAAAGGCCATATGCGTCGAGATCATTCTGTTCACGTCGCTCATTCCGACGTTGAGTCCCAACACAAGACCCGTTGTGACGTAGTCCTGAGGTATTGTCTCAAAAGGAAGTCTCTTTGAGCCGAGGCGTTTCAGCCTTCCCCCCTGCGTGCAAGAGCGCTGTCGTTTCATGAGAAAACGTCGGTGATCTTGCTCCTCTTCGCCTTGCGAGGATGCAGTGCGTGAAAGAATTCGTCGACGTTTTGCCGCCCTGGTCGAGCCCTCGGCCTCGACGCTTTCTGGTGCTACACCCAGATCCTCACGTCTCTCACTCAGGGGTTGTCTGCCCAGCCTTGTCTCGGGCGGTGGAGGTGTCCTCATCAGTAATGTCTGTAGAGTGTGTGCCCACTGGCCATTTCCCTGAGGCTGTTGCTCGTCCGATTCTCTTGCAATCTCTGGAAAGGCACCTAAACTTTGAGTCCCCTGGCCCGCGCTCTCGCCTTGCGCATTGGTCTGAGGGGAAACAAATCCATGGCCGAAAGGCTGCTAGCCTTCCTGATCCTCTGCATGAGCATGGCTGCCGTGCAACACGTCCTTAGGGTGTGCATCTGCGTCATCGTGACCAAGGGTCAAGGTGTTTCTTCTACCCGTCAACTGGCTCCCGTGCCGTCCATGTTGCACTTGACGTCTGCTCAGCGAGCCAGTCTGGCCGTTGTCCAAGACTGACCGACGCCTTCCGTGATCCGCGAACCTGTCAGTCGACATTCTGGCAGCGTTCCGAGGCGACATTTGGCCTCTGGCCAAGCCTTGATTGATTGGGCTCCCAGATGGACTGCCACGATACAGGTGATTGGCACGCACAGGATCTGACGAAGGGGGTGTCCGAAGAGCAGAAGGCTCTTCCGAACGCAACGTCGGATTTGGCGCTGGTCGTGGTCTCGTGAGTGGTCTGAATGGGATGTTTACCAAAGTTGAAGGAACTGCATGACCTGGCGCTGCGGCCTGGCCTGCCATGTTGCGTAGCGGCGTAGCGTTTTGCTCAACAACAGAGAGCTCAATCACAGACTCATCATCTCCGTGCTCCTCATAATCTTCCTCCTCCTCCTCTCGGGGCATATTCAGGTCTGACTCTGTCAACTCCACGAGTGGGGGGCGGCGAATCTCAAGGCGACCCGTGGCTGTGTTGGGATTCGACAAATGTTCCTCTTGCATGTTTTCCACCGTAGCTGTTTCATCTGTTGCAATCTCTATTGGCTCATGACGTTTGGGTCGGAAATATCGACCAATGTCTTCAGAAAAGCGGATGGGGGGTGACTCCTGGCGACGAGAGGAAGCTGCATGTCTTCGCGCAAGTTGTACCGGGATCAACCCTTCTGTACCACCTGGGTCGCTTGAGTTGCTGTCGTTCCGGGAGAGGTTGACCACAGCCTTGGTTCTCATTGTTGCTGAAACAGTTCGAGGTTCTTCGGCATCAGCAGCCTCATTCCGATAGGCAGGGCGGGCAGTACTGAGTGACCGAGAAGCGCGAGTAGCAACAGGTGAAGGACCATTACCACCTTGAGAGTTGTTGGAACTAAAGTCAAGAACTCTTTCGAGCTCATCGTTAAGAGCCTCGATAGGGTCTAGATCGTTCATCGTGCTGCTTTCTTGTGTGTTGCCTTGGCAGTTGACACCAGTTGGCTTCTCTCCTGATCCTCGTGGGGTCACTGACGTCTGGGGTAGCGAGGTTTCTCTCTGCATCTGCCTTGTGATGCGCACATTGCGTTGCTCCTCTCGCCCAGGAGCCACTCCTGTGGTCACAGAATCCTTCCCTCTGTAAACCTTGTCACAAAGGGCCTGAAAGCAACTGAGGATCGCTGGTTCGTCCTTGAAAAGCACCTCGTCCTTGAGTGGTGATACATTGGGGTCGTAGGAACCTGGTTGGCACTTGATACTGAGTTGCATGAAAGGGTTGGGAAGAGACCGTAAATCCTTAGTTGAGGCCAAAGTCCGCGAGATGCTCGCCTTGAAAATGGCAACAATCTTCTTCCCTGTCCCAGTTGTGGAGGAAATGGGTCGTGAATCCACCGAGATGAAAGCTCCCTTGTTCTTGACTATCTTGGCATCGCTCCCGCGGCTTGGAAGAAACGCAGTGAGAACAATCTCTTGTGACAGGTAGTTCGCCGGTCCATCGGTACCTGTGCCTGATGAGATCTCATCGAGTTGAGTGACGAGTGCATGGCCAAAGACTTGTGTAATAGCCTCTCGCGTGTTCATCAAGGCACAAGGCGAATACAGCCATGGTTGGCAAGGATCGCCAGGAACTTTGAAAGATAGTTTCAGATGTGGCAGCGCTAATGCGTAGCCTTCCAGGAGTTTCTTGATGTTGGTTAGTGTTTTGCGACTCCCTTTCAAGGCAGTCTGCTTCCGCACGGGGATGTTGTCGAATAGCTTCCAAGCTTGGACTGTCGTTCCCACAGTGCTGGATATGGGTTGCTGCTTTTCAATCCCGCCCTGTCCAAACTTTAGGAACAGAAGCGATCCAACGGGATCTTGAGCAGTTCGAGTTGAAACTTTGATAGTTGCCAGAGAGTTGGCACTAGCAAGCGCCTCACCGCGGAACCCTAGGGTAGTGCCGCCCTTGAATTCTAGCTCGTCAAAGGTTCGGAGTTTGCTTGTGTGAGCTCGGCGGCCCAATGAGTCGTAGTCCTCGAGTCGGATTCCTCGGCCATTATCCCGGACCCGGATCTTGTCGACGGTGTTGGATGTTGTGGTGATTTCAATAGATGTGGCACCTGCGTCAATGCTGTTGTCCACGAGCTCCTTGACCAGTGAAAGGGGATCTGCGATTGCAGTCGAGGAGCCTAAAAGGCGAGCTGTAGATGGAGGCAGTGCTGATATTGACATGATGATGTGAAGATGGCTTGGAGATTGTGAACAACGATATGAGATCTCTCGAGTGGTTATGGTAAATTGAAACACAGCATCTGGTTGCCCGAGGGACTACATGGATCATGTGGATAACATGCTGGTGGAGTGCTTAATATGGATGAAAGCAATATGAGCAGGGGATGTGTTGCAGCTGGAAGAGGGAAAAACATGAGGTTGCAAGGCGGGATTCATCTTTTCTGCCTGGATCACGGGATTGAATCTTCTCATAGAGGGAAAGAACGTGGTGGATTTGCATTCGCGTAGGTTAGGTAGTTCCTTCCCAAGCGAAGTAGACGAAGGCCGCCTGAACCGGGGCCGACCATCGCCAAGCCAGGACAGGCGCGATCCGCTCCTGGTATGGACGGCCCACGGCAGGTACGGTAGGTAGGTACGTACCTCCCACCAGACGACCTTCCTCCTCAGTCCCTGCATTCCAAACCCTCCCCTGAGACGGAGCTGCAGAGGAGCCCGCGCTGTGACGTGATGTCCGCCAACCCCGCTATGAGCTGCCGCGTGGCCCCGCACCCACCACCGGCCACATCCATTCATTACTCAAGCTTGACAAACCATCCTTCCTTTCAACTACATCCACCAAGAGGCAGTTCACGATAGAGTCATCGCCATTGCACACGAGAAACAACACACCTACATATCATACATAGCCGAACGCATATTTAGACACCCACAATGTCTTCACTCAAGGGTCCCTCCCCTCAACACCACGATGGCTCTAACCTGCGCATCGCCATCGTCCACGCCCGCTGGAACTCTACTATCATCGAGCCCCTCGTCACCGGCGCAAAGGAGAAGCTCCTCGCCAGTGGCGTCAAGGAGTCCAACATTGTTATTCAGTCTTGCCCCGGCTCCTGGGAGCTTCCTATTGCCGTCCAGCGGTATGGCCCTCTTCGCTCTTGTGCGCTGTCATCACAATGCTGACATATCCTCCTAGCCTCTTCTCTGCGTCCCAGATCCAGGGCACCGCTACCGGTGGTCCCTCAGCGACCGACCTTCTCGCCTCGTCGACCCCAGATCTCTCTACTCTCCCTGCGTCTTCGGGTCCCTTTGATGCCATCATTGCCGTTGGCGTTCTCATCAAGGGCGAGACCATGCACTTTGAGTACATTGCCGAGTCTACCTGCCAGGGCCTGATGCGTGTCCAACTTGACACTGGCGTCCCCGTCATCCTCGGTGTCCTGACCGTTCTCACTGACGACCAGGCCAAGGCTCGCGCCGGTGTCGACGGCAAGGGTCACAACCACGGCGAGGACTGGGGCCTGGCCGCTGTTGAGATGGGCGTCAAGAGACGGGAATGGGCCAACGGAACCATTGATGGTTAAGCCCAGCAACATCAGAATGAAGCTCAAGAAAGGAGCAAATAGCGATGACTGTGGGACTCTTGAATATCGGCGTTGAGTAACAATTGAAAAAAAGAGACGATAGACACCAGGTGGCTGAATACATCACCAAACTGCCATGAACAATCATATGATACAATTCTAATAGTGACCTCCCAATTAGTCAATTACCGGCATAAAGGTTTATCTATCATGCACGCGACCTGATCCCACAGGCCGGTACCCATCATTTCTTTCCATACGACGCCCAAACGAAAAGCAGAGTTCTAGAATATACAAAGTTTGTATGGGGTTCCCAGCTGACGCTCGAGTTGGGCTAGTCCCAGGAATCTCCAGATGCAAAAGTAGGGCGTATAAATCCAATCTTTCCTCCTTCTCTTTTATAAACCTCGTGAGATGACCCCCTCTAGATCATCGTGCCTAGGTCACTCCCGAATCCCTTCTTGCTCTTCCAGAGCGTTCGCTTCTTGTCTCGCTTGGCCTTCATGGCTTCCCAGCCCTCCTCGTCGTCGTCATCTGAGCCATCATTGGCAGTGTTGACAACGTTGATGGTAGACTTGGTCTTGGTCTCATCCCACCGACCGAGTGCCCCAGACATGGTGTTGGTCCTGCGATGGGGATCGGTCATCATGGGATCAACAGCCTGAGACACGGGTCGGTAGCGGCCAGGAAGACCGATGTTGCTTCGCTCAGACGGCGCAATCGATGGGGTATAGCCCATCGGCAGTCCTCCGGCAATCGAGCCAGCATATCCGGCGGGGGGTGGCATCTGCATGAAAGAGGCCGAGCTGGGCTGAACCATGCTCATGGTGCGCATGCCAGCGTCCATTCGGCGAGGGGGCTCCAGAGCCGGTTCGAACATCATTGAGTGCCGTGATGAAAGATCGTTCATAGACTGCGTGGCGGGCAGTCCGCCATATGGTGGCTGCAACTGAGCCATGCCGGTCTGCTGCTGCTGGTTGTTGGTTGCCATCATCTGCATGAACTGCATTTGCATTTGCATGAATTGCGACATCTGCTGGGTCATCTGGAGCTGAGCCTGGTCTCCCACGGTGAGCTGTGGTGGAGGCATTGGCTGAAGCATGGGCTGCGACATTCCCATACCGGGCATGTTGTACATGCCGCCCATCCCACCGCCGATTCCACCACCGTTGCCCACATTGTTTATCAAGCCGTTGGGATTCTCATAGGATCCTTGTGGCGCATTCAGACCAGGAATAAGTTTGGCGCCATTTGCAGCTGCACCACCACGGCGCATGGCCCTCGTTCGCTCCTCGTTGGCAATCACGCCAACGAGACCACCGGGAGGGAGGGGACCCTGTTGTTGTTGCTGAGGCTCCGCTGAGGCAGGGATACCGCCACTGAAGGTCAACGATTCCCGCACAGCAGGCTTCGCAATGCTGGCACCAACAAACGGATCCTGAGGGAGGTTTCGTGCAAAGGCAGGAAGCATCGAATGTCGCTGGGCCGAGTTTTCGCCCATAGCTGAACCAGGTCTCGGTGGCTGCAGCGAAGCCGATGCGCGCAGGTTTGGATTGGAACCCATGGTGCTTAGCCGGGTTGGAGGCCGGTTCTTATTAGGGAAACCGTGAGCCTGCAGAATGGCCAAGGGGACCTCGTCATCGTCTTCTTCGTCAGAAACGCCGGTGGGAGGTCCTGGAGATGGGGTCTTCTTCATAAGGTGCAGCTGCGGTGCGCTCATCGAAGCGGCCAATCCAGGGCGGTCAGGCGGGTGCATCTCGGGCTGCTCGCCGGTCACCTTCATCATCTGTTGTCGATAAACAGCCATGTGAGCCTCCTGCTTTCTCCTCTGCTTCGCCTGCTGCTTCGACTTTTCGATTTCATCTTCGTCGTCGTCGTAGTTGATCTCATCTTCGTCATCATCGTCATTGACAGTCGCTTGGTGAGCGGTCTCGTTGGAGTCCTTCTCCTTGTCTTGTCGGTACTTCTCAAACTGAGCAGGAGTCATGACCTTGTTCCGTGGGGGACTGGGGGCTCGCGAGGTGTATCGATTAGCGATGCGTGACGAGTGCGCCAGGGTTCCTTCGAACATGTTGTCATCGCCCTTCTTGAAGCTAGAAGTGAGAGGCTTCCTGGTGAATGAGGAAAAGGAGTCTTCATCTCGTCGGTAACGGCCAGAGGGCGGGTTGGAATCCGAAAGCATACGTCCTACAGCGATGGAATCCTGCAAGAGTCTGGCATCCTCATCTTCGATAATATCGGACGGGCGGTTCGAGGTCTTGAATGAACTCTGGTGGCGTGGCACAGGTGGCGGCACGTCGATTTCCGGAGAAGCCGGGGTGGAACCGAGAAGATTGTCATCCGAAGTTCGGCTGTTCCAAGATTCGAGAGCAGGTTCAACATCGGCCGTCTTGTTGATGCTCAGCGGCGCGGGCTGGGCTGGGCGATTGCCTGTCAAGGATCGAGGCGCGACAGTTCCCTCGGTCTTCAAGGTAGCTACGCTGGCCCTCTTGTCAAAAGTGCTGAACATGGAGCCAAAATCTCCACCCATATCCATCCCTCCGTTTTCCAACTTGGGCGGTGTGGCGGTGCTGGTCGTAGATTCGGTCATGCCCCTGGATCTTCCACTGAAGTCGTCGTGCTGGAACGAAGGAACAGGCGGTACGTCGGGGATCTCGTTCTTCGGGGCGGAGGCGCTGTGTTTTTTCTGGACGCCAAAAGAAAAAGTTCGACCCGCTCGGTTCAGAAAGCCGGACCCGCTCGACTTGGGGGCGTTTCGAGAACCAAAGTCGTGCAGCGCCTTCTTGTGATAATGCTTGGGATCGTCCTGCCCCTCGAGGTTCGTCGAAGAGGGAGCAGTCGAGGCATTGCTGTGCCTTGATGAGGTATCAGTCGATGTGGCCTTGGTCGTATTGGACGCCCCACTTCCCCTGAGAAGGAGTCAGCGCCACGGTGCATGACTATTTTTGTCTCTGATGACAGAGCGAATGGAAAGTCGTGAAACAGCCCTGCGAACGAGTCGTACACGAGAAAAAGAAATGGACTCACCGGTTGCCACTCTTTAGATCAGCAAACATGTTATCCTCGCCGTCAAGATCCAGCTGGCTGGGCCGGGAAGCGTGAGAACCAGAAGCCCTCGCCATCCTCGCACCTCCGTCAAACGACTTGCCGAGAGAGGGGTCGTTTCGCTCAATGACTCGGAAAGATGATTGCTCTGGTGTTACTGAGCCATGCTGTAAATCTTCCGGGGTTGCGGTTGACTTCCGCCTGTTGAACGCGACACCGAATCTAGGCATGTAGAAGGTAGATCGAGAAATCGGTCTCAATTACTTGCAACCCATAAAACAGACTCTGGGGAGACCCAAATAGATCAGTCAAACAGAGCTGGATATTTGCAATCGTATACGTTGGGTGTTTGATGCCCGAGAAGAGTAAATGTCGAAAGTTTGAAAATAAAATAGAAAACGGTCCAAAAACGAGATCCTAGAAAGGTCCGATGCGAGGGTATTCGAGGCGGATCGTGTCAAGGAACAAATATGCGGAGTGAGACGGGTAACTGCATGGTGGTAGGATCGCAGGTCAGCAAAGGCTGGGGAAACCACAGGATGTAACGACGCAGTTGTAGCCGTTACTCTAGAGCAAAGTAAAAGGAGAAGGCAAGAAACAGAGCCGAAAATCAAAGGGGAATCCTGACGAGCGAGCGGGCGTCCGTCCGTGTGGTGTTGGGGGCGACCAGGCTTTATCGGATCAAGCCAAGCAACGGCGAGAGAGGCTTGAAGCTAAAGCCGCGGACATGAAACTGGGTGGTTGGCGGAGAGCGGGCGGCATGTGTCATGGAAGGCAAAGAAAGTTGAGACTCACATTAATCTCCAGAAACGAAAGACGGACGGTTGGGTTGGTATTAGAAGGAGCAAAAAGTGGCTGGCTAGCCGGGAGAGGACGGGCGGCCAAGTGCGAGAGCGAAAGTGAAAGCAGAGGCGGCAAACAAGTCGTCCAAGGGGCGAAGGCAGCGGCTAAATGTCGACAACGTGAAGAAATGCAACAGTCGAAAGTCGGAAGATGCAGCGGCTGTGATTAGGGGGGGAAAAGCGAGTGGTGGTGGTGAGGTTTGAATGAGAGAAAGATGGCGAACAAAAGCGAGTGGCCCGACAGGTGATGGATGGGCGAACGAGGAGCACGACAACGGGGACCGGGCGTTGCACAGTGCGCGGACACAGTGTGGCGTCAGCGGTACGGGTCTTGGGTCCTTCCCCCGTGGGTGGCTTTAGGTGGCTACGGCCTGGTGTCTCTGCAGAAAATCGTTCGGAGACAGCGAATGTGGGCAGCAGGAGGAATGCGCTTGCGGGTCGATACGACGATTGTGTATTGCCGGGTTTGTATCGACGGTCACCACTGTTCGGCGGAATAATAACGAGCGAGCGGGCGAACGATCGATCGAGAGTGCGAACAGACGGACGGATGGACGACGCTGCTGCTGGCGACCAGAGGGTTAAGGGGTGGCGGCCGACTGGACTTGAGAGGGACAAGAGCAAGAGGATCAAAAGTGGCTATCGGCTGGGGGAGCGAAGTGTTATTATTTCCCTAGACGCCGCCAACGCAGCGTCCCCTTGGGGGGTCTACATGAGGTCTAGTCAGATCTCGTAAGCCACCCCAGCTCCAGAGCGAGCGAGGTGCCAACGGACGGAGACCCAGCAGGAGAGGCTTGACCAAAGGGGTCCTTCTGGCTCTTGGCTTTGAGGAGTGCAGCAGCGGTGCGGTGCGGTGCGGTGCAGGCTGAGTGCAGCGCGGTGCTGGAGGCCCATCCATCGTCACGACCAGTCCAGTCCAGTCCGTATCCTGTCCCGACTACCACCTCGCTAGCGGCGTTGCTCCATGGATGAGAGCAAGCAAACCCCCCATGTCGCTGGGACCACGGTCACGGCCGCTGAACCACGGCCATGGCCATGACCCTGCCCTGCTGCCAATGGCATGGCCACGGCAGAGAGTCTGATGTGCTGCCCTAAGTACAGAGGATGATGCTCAGCCGGCCCAGATGCCAGCCTAAGCCCCAGGGGCCAGGTTCAGCTAGAGCCTTGAGTGGCTCCCTGGCCAACCACCCCCAGAAGGCAACATGGGATGATTGCTATTTTAACTGGCGGCGAGTTTGTGAGGGTTGGAAGAGGGACGCTAGTCTCAAAGACGTCCCCGAGACAGTCTTTTTTATTTTATTTTTTTCAATGGACTTTCAGCGTGGGAGACAGAGACCGGAAGATTGAGCGAGGCGCTGGCCAGGCCAAGAAGGGTCAAGACATAAGGGGTCTTTCATTACCAGCTACCTACATACAGCACAGGCCGGAAAGACGCAAAAAAGAGGCGCGAGAGACCAAGAAAGACATCCATCCCAATGCACCCATGGGCACCGAGACGAGACGCCAGGGCCGCCAGGGGATCCAGGCATGTGCCTGTGCCTGCACCTTTGCAGCAAGCAGGCAGCGCCCACATGCTCCAGTAAATTGGGTGGCATCGGAGCGAAGCAATACATTGCCGATAGCGTCCCTCTGGGCGTGCGCTGCGTGCCTTGTCTGGCTGGTACGGATGCGTCCCGTGCCGTGCTCTGCCATCTTTTTTTCCTTGCTCGCCTCCCGGTTCTGGGGAGGGACGGCAGATGGGCTGCGAGTTTGATCACAGCACGAGTGAGTACAACAAAGTGCAAAAAGAACAAGGGACAGCATCAAGTAAGTCAATAAATGAGAATGAATGAGTGAATGAGTGACCCAGGTTTGCCCGGAGCCGGTGGATGTGGAGACTTGAATGTCTCACAGAAAGAGCAACGGCATCCGTCCATCATTGCGGTTGTTGGGTTGCTGATCCATCTTCGGCTCTTTTGCTCTTAACGACTGGCTCCTGTTGCGTCACGAATGAGATCTGTTCACTCTTCAAGTTCTCACCAGCTGAACGATAAGGACAACGAGATTTGGGCTGACGAACTATTATTGCCGGGCGCCTAAAGCTCTCTAGGGCTGATTCGGCAAGACGTTATTAATGCAGCAACGGAACGGGCGTGGTCAAAGGCCCGGGGGACAGGTGGAGATTTTTCCTTTTTCATGATTCAATATTTGGGTTCGACGAGTCGAGTTGCTGACTTGGGTTTCACTCATTTAATGTCCACCACCCCCGGAAGAGTTCCTGGGGGCTTCAGTCAGTGCCGAGGTTCTACGGAGTGAGTCCAGTTGACGGGAGTGCCTGGGTATCCGTAAAATGCACATGCACAGTATACATCCACTTTGTTCAGACAAAAAAGAGTTGTGGTTTCTATTTCAGTGCTCATTATCTAAGCTAACTAGCACAGTATAACGTCAGGGTCAAGAAAAAAAAAAGAATGGGGACTGTTGTGGAGTTTGATGGGCAAGGTCGTTGAGAGTTCCAGAAGATGATGATCCCTCATACTGTGCCAGGTTGTGGAAAAGAAGAGAGACCCTCCAATATTATTCCAAGTTAAAAGAACCAACACGTTGGGAGAGAAGGTGATTATTCTGGTACACCGGAAGTGCCAAGTACACCAGGTACAACCCGGCGGCTTCGGATATTGGATCTGTCTGAAAGAACTCAAAGACGTGGGCGCGGCTCCCGGCTGTGGCCTCTTTTTTTCTTTTTTGCCCTTTGGCTGGCCGGGGTGGTTCAGGCCAGGCCAAGCCAGGGGACCATTTGACAATTATCCATGGAGCTTGTGGAGCTCATGGTGGATGAAAAAAACAACAACACAGCAACGACAACACGACGGACAAGCCCTGAACCAAAAAGAGACACGAATCAGAGAGTTCCCACTTGAGAGGAGCCCATGGCCCCCCATGCGGGAACCGACCCCGGCCTGTCGATGGATCTTGAGACTTTCCTTCCATCTTCCGGAATCATGGAATCATGGATCGAGTTCGCTCTCTTTCAAACATGCCCTGGTCTACTTACTGTATGACTTTTTGGCTGCCGCTGACGTTTGCAACGGGGTGCGATCTACAGGAGGGAGTTGTCGATCACCACCAACCAAGCACGAGAAAGGAAAATCTCGGGCTTCACGGCGTGTGCTTTCCTCCTCTCTGTCCTGCACGAAAAACTTGGTTCAGGAGCCCCCCCCCCCCCCAACCCGGACGGACGAGACCAACGTGAAGGGGGAAGGGGAAATTTTAATACGATGCTACGACGGCGACCATGTGCGCCCGTTCACACATCTCGGCTTGCACTGTGAAGAAAGGTGCCTGGCCGGGCTTCCCACTCACACACTCTTTACACATGGACTCACCCCCTCCATGCAGCCCGAATCGATGCTAGCGAGTCCAATATTTCTAAGAAACTCAGGCCTGATCGGGTCAAGTCAGGTACGCGTCTCGTCAGTCGATAATCATCGCTCACTCAAAAGAGAGCGAGGGCCCTCCTTTTTTTTCTTTTCTTCCTTGCTGGGCTTCTGCAGCAGCTCGCTCTTCTCCCCCCTCCCTGTCTTTCAGGTGGACCGGCTCGGCGTATTTAGATCAAAGACTTGGCCAATGCTTGCCTTCATCCAGGGGGCCCAAACCGTCTTTTTGTCTGTTCTCCATCGGTGATGTGCAGAGGGAAATGTGAGATTCGTATGGGATGAAAGTGTGCCTGAAGTTAATTATCCGCACATCGCCCTTCCATCATCGGTGTCGCCTCGACAGAAGGGAATATTGTCCTGGGACAAGTGTCACGCTGGATTTCCACGCTTCTATCCGCAGAAGGCCTCCTCCCTCTCCGACGGTTGTGTGCCGTGCCACGGCAGCTCTGCTTTTCCCGCTTCTGCACGGAGTACAGGCAGGGCTGTGTTGTATAGGGATCCAATGTGGATGCAATAAGGCTGGAGCGGCTTGACAATGGCTGAGCAAGTAGCAGAGGCCCAGCCAGGCAGCTGAGATGCAAGCTGACAGTTGTGGGCTGGCTGACGGTCCGTAAACGTTATTGTCACGCTGATGCTCATCATTCATTTTTCGTGCCGCTTAGGGCCTCCTGGCTTGTTCACTTGCTCGCTCGCATACATCTGGCCTCGATGCAAAACGGCATATTCACCTGCTCCCCGGTGCCGAGCGCGGCTCGTTCGTCTCACGTCACTCCCAACCCGAGCGAGCGAGAGCCGCCACGAGCGGATGGAGCAGGTACGCCATTACACAGTACGTGGAGATTTTCGGTACGTGTTCAACTTGGCTTCTATTAAAGGCACAAGCAAGCATCGAGCTCCCGTCACCCGATCCATGGCCGGTTGAAGCTTGTTTTCAAATCCCTTCTCCAGTTTTATGCGACCCCCTCTCTTTTCCTCCAACTGCCCCAAGGTCCCTGCAACAATTTCGTATGGTTGGCCCCGTACAGTAGGTAGTAATGGATGTGCAGAGGAGGTCCCGTCCCCACCAGGCCAGGGGTGAGACAGTACTGTACAGTAAAGAGGATCGCTGTGAGTGTGTGTTGTTGTTGCTAGCTGTGTGTGCTGTCATCAAGCGCGTCGAGTTGAGGAGCACCTATGTACAATAACAAGGGGGATGCCCTGCAACACGTCAATTAGGAACAAGCGGACAAACCGCAAGCCACGGAGCCTTGCCGATTCTTTTTGTACACCGGCCGTTATTAACAAGGGCTATGCCCCCTTGACCCCTTCAAACCCAGTCATCGTCATAAGCGGCCAACTCTGTTCCTTTGGAGAACTCGGTGACGGTTCATCGTGATCATGTTCCTGGTAACCAACTGGGGGCCAAACCAAGGCAAAGGAAAACATGAGGCTCCACCGCGGATACTTTGTTGAGAAGCATTCTTCGATCCAATCCATTGCTTGTGCTAGTGCTAGCCACTCACCCGGGTTCGATCATCGCTGCTCGATGTCGTCGACAAGCGATGTGCGCATCCGGTTGGTTCCCATATATCGAAGGGGACTCAGTTGTGAGACAGAGCAGCAGCTTGAACAATGCCGATGCACGTCAAACACATGAATTGCGCGGCCTTGGTGGATCTTTTGCCCCTCCGGATGCACCAAGTTCCAAGACAAGACAGAGACAACCTAGATGTGTGCCGCACAGTGTGCTGGAGGGATTGGACAAGGGTGATTGTTTACAACAGAGTGCAGCCGTTTTTGCATTCCGCATATCTGGAAGAATGGGCGTCGAGAGGCTCTCAAGCTCGAGCACGCCTCACGACGCTGCTGCGCTGAAACATCAGAAACGAGGCGAAAGCCTCAATCAACAATTCCGCATGGTGTTTGTAAGTTTGTAAGCGGGCTTGCAGCGTACAGCACCTTGGCTTGGCTGGAATGGATGTGACCGTCCAATGCTAATCTCGGAGACCCACGAGCCAAAAACCGGCCGTCGGATCATGGTGATTGGAAACCCCATGTGAAGGTTGACTTGTTTTGCCAGGGCGGTCAGGTCAGTGAGGTCAGTCAGCAACGCTCTCACCAGCCTTCCATTCAACAGCAACTCAACTCTCAGCAGCTGCATGGTCAACAGCTGAGAGTCAAGTAGAGAGGCAACTTGATCAGCGATTGGACATGATCCCACCACCCCGATGATGCATCTGCGCTTGCGGCTGTTGCAACTTTGAGTTGGTTGGCTCTTGTACATGCAGTCCATGGCAGCAAAGCCACGGAGGCCGCTGAAACACGCAGCGTAGAAGCTTAACTGCGAGATGCTACACAGTGATGTGTGCATGATGATGATGGAGGATGACTGATTGCCTCCGTGTTCTCGGTCGTACCCTCTCGATCAAGCACAGCACGTCCGCTCTCCGACGGCTCCTGGCGGGAAGTTTTAGGTACGGTATCATCGCCCAGTCAGATCCAACCAGCGACATCCGATTAAAGTCCAGATGCCATTCCTAGCTTCTTGCTTCCCCGTTGGCAGCAAAAGTTGCGAGCGCAAAATTCCAGCCTCGTATTTTTCTCTCCTTCCTTTCTTGTTACATCATTGGCAGGCTTAAACCCCCTGGCTGTAAAACCCTTGACATATATGGTGGAAACTGGGAAGAGGCGAGCTGAACCGGACCATTAATACACCGACTTCCTGTATGGGATGGCCGGGACGGGATGGAAGCGGGAAGCGGGAAGCGGGAAGCGGGAAGCGGGATGGGATGGAGTTGAGATAAGGTAAAAGATTTGACGATTGAATTGAAGAAAAACGAGATGAAAATTGCTCTTCAGGGCATAGCACGCTCTTAGTCAACATGTACTAAGCTTTGCGTCTATCTCCAAGTTCCATTGAAAGACCTTTTGACTTGGGGATTGAATAAGGTAAATGACTCCATTCATACCCACTCGCCAAGAGCCCCCGGCACGGCCGGCTAGAGGAGAAAAATAGACCCCTGGTGGATCGCCCGGTGAAGCTACTGTACCTGGGTTTGTTTGAAGCTGAAGCTCGCCTCGCTTTGCTTTGCTTTGCGTGATGCATGATGCAGATGCAGCCAAACACCCAAAACACCAAAATGTGTACCCCTAGATATCACCATCTCGGCAGCCGCAACGGCCACTTTACAGAAGGATCGCCACCACCACCGGGCCTCCCTCGGTGCGTTCCATCATAGAGCGACTCAACTCAACATCAAAAGCAAGCCCCTCACATGAGGGCTTTCCGGTCTAGAGCCTATGGGCCAGGGCGTGGCGGAGTAAACCAGCATGTGGGCAAATCGCGGGCATGGATTGGATCTAATCAATCTCTCAACCCTTTCCCTTTTTTTTCTTTTTCTTTTTTTTCCTCGCCAGGCCCGGCTCTTAAGCTTAAAAGCCTTGTTTTGTATCTTTTTTGCCGCTGGTTGGCACTATACTCTTGCTCTGCACGCGCTTGCACTTGGACCCTTTTTTCTGTGTTTGAGCCTCGGAGAATCGGAAAAACACCAAGAGCTCCTCCTCTCCTCACTGCTAGCTTAGCTTAGGTTTGCTTCAGCTTCAGTTTCATCTTCCCCAACTCTTTTTTTTTTTTATTTATCCTTCCACCGCGCCAACTCCAACCTTATCTTGTTACTCCTCTCCTCTCCTTGCGCCAGCTCCCTTCGGCGCATCTTTCCTCTAGGCGCGACCATTGTGCTCGCGACCATGAGCTCTCCTAGCCCTTCTAGGCCAAGCCATCTGAGGCGGCCTTCGCTGCTCTCCAACGATGAGAGCCACAATCCTCTGGGCACTCGTAGCGGCCACCTCCAGTCCCTCATCCGCAGTCGCTCTACCCAGAGCATGCAGAGCGTAACTGGCTCTCTGCACTCTCACCATTCCCATCCGACAACGCCGTTTTGGATGGGCCCAGACGACGAGGAGACGGCGCTTCTCCACGTTCGCCCTCACGACAACGACGAGCTTGGCAGGCTGCTCAGCGACGAGCGCCGCCTCACCCAGCTGCTCAATGGACCCCAGAACCGCAGCGCAAAGCTCATCGGCCGAAGCAACCCCCGGTATCGTTGGGAACAGTACTGGAAACCAGAGGAAGAGCTGGCCTCCATGTCTAAGCCCCTGTGAGTCCACATTGAATGGACGGCCATTGTTTCGGGCTGGAGCTGACCAAAGGCGCGATAGGCGCGAATACTACGAACGTACCAACGAGCTAATCCAGCAATATCTCTACATCGATGCTCTCCTCGACTCGGCCATTCCCCATGAGCTTCTCAACGAATACCAGACCGAGCTAGAGGCCTCGGCCTTCCGGCCCATTGATGTACCGGACACCATCAACGAGGAGCCATCCACAGCCTCCGACTCGCCCCCCATGAGCGGCTCGACCCCGGCGTCCTTTACCCCAGGATCCTACGGCACCGTCAAGGCGAACAACTCTTCCACAAAGCTGCCCGCAACTCGCACGCCCAAGGACATCTTCCGCTCCTCTGAGAGCCTGCCAATGCTTCAGCGTCAGGTCGGAGACGATGAGGACGACGAGCCCCCCACAGCGCCTGTTACCCAGGAAGACGGCGCAGGCCCCAAGCCCATCTTGCCATGGTTGGAGGACGCTGAAGTCGACAGCGATGACCCAATTGTGACTCTGGCTATCTGGGTCAACTTTATCGCCAACGGCATTCTCCTTGCTGGAAAGCTTGCCGTCATTGTTTCCGTTCCCTCCATGTCCGTCTTGGCTAGTTTGGTCGACGCTGTGCTTGACTTTCTCAGTACCGTCATCGTTTGGATAACTACGCGTCTCATCTCGGCCAGTCAACAGGACCAATACAGTTACCCCGTCGGTCGTCGAAAGTAGGTCCTCCTCGTGTGTGGTTAGGTTACTGCGGAGACCCAAGTCTAACCCGTGCTTCCAGGCTTGAACCTCTCGGTGTACTTGTCTTCTCCATCATCATGATCACCTGTTTCTTCCAGGTAGGCCTCGAGTGTATCCAGCGCCTCATGGACCCTGCGCACCACATCCTCGAGCTCGGTATCCCCGCCATCGCCATCATGGTTTCCACCATTGTCATCAAGGGTGCCTGCTGGGTCTGGTGCCGTGTCGTCAGGAACTCGAGCGTGCGAGCCTTGTAAGTCTCATGTTACAGTGCCTACATCACACACGTGCGCGGCCAAGATCTGACCATGGCTGCAGGGCCGAAGACGCCAAGACGGATGTAATCTTCAACACGGGATCCATCTTGTTCCCGATTAGTGAGTAGCCGCAGCCCGCGATGCGCGATCGGACCGCTGCATCCCTGAGCTGCACAACGAACCCCTGCTAACCCTTGTTTCCTTCAGTTGGTTTCTATGGACGTATCTGGTGGCTTGACGCTGTTGGCGGCCTGCTCCTTTCCATGGTTGTCATCTTCAACTGGAGTGAAACCTCGGCCCATCACGTCCGTAACCTCTCCGGCTTCTCGGCCCAACCCGACGAGCGTAACCTCCTGTTGTACCTCACGATGCGATTCGCGACGGCTATCCGCCAGATCCAGAACCTGCGCGCCTATCACGCCGGAGATAAGCTCTTTGTCGAGGTTGACATTGTCCTCTCTGCCGCCACACCCCTGAAGGACAGCCACGACCTCAGCGAGGTTCTCACCTACTTCCTCGAGTCCGTCCCCATCGTCGACAGGGCCTTTGTCCATGTCGACTACACCAGCTACAACGCTCCGACCCACATGCTCAAAGGGTCCGCTGCAAAGGCGAAATGAGGTGGGTTCGGCACCGCCCGTGAGTGAGAGCGGAGAATCTCCGTCTCATTTACCTTGCGTCTAAGCGAGGAGGTCAGAGGGGCCGGCTCCCCGGATGCCTTGTAGTAGTAGTAGTAGACTCAACTGAACTAATCTCGTCATCATATCATGGCTGGGCTGCCCTCGATAGAATGGGATCTAGGACGAGTGTGTAGGATAGTGTGGATCGTGTCTTGTTTGCTTTGGATATTGGTGAAAGGGCTGTGTACTATTATAGAAAAGAAAAGAAACAAGACTAATTACAGTAGGTAGAGCTATGATGGTTCTTGTATTTGACCATCCTTCAAGAGTCAGAAAGAACTAGATAGACAGGGCGTATCACCACAATATCTCGCCACCACAGCCAGTCCACCTGCGTCTCCTCCCCGTCGCTTATCCTTAATAGGGAATGCCGTTGGTCAGGAGCTGGAACTGGTCGTAGATGCCCGTGCTGTAACTCGAGTAGCTCGTCTTGATGAGGTGTTTCATAAAGTTTGCTGCATCCCGCTCGCTCTTGTCCAGCACGAAGCGCTCCCGGAAGTGCTTGACACTCTCAGGGCGGAAACACGGCAGGCCGCTGTCCATCATGAGCCAGACAATCTGGCTGAGCTTCTCGCAGTACTGTCGACTGGCCAGGAAGGCCTTGACGCAGAGCTCCTCGAAAGCCTTGAAGCTCTGGTGGTCCATGGAGCCGCCCATGACCGCCACCATCTCGGTGGTGAGCTTAAAGGGGGCGCGCTCAAACTTGATGCCACCGGGGGCAATATCGAAGCAGAAGCCAAAGTCAATGTGCAGGATGTGTCCGGCGTCGTCGATCATGATGTTGCCGTTGTGACGGTCCTTGAACTGGAGGAGGTACGAGATGACCGAGTAGGCCGCCATCGACTTGACAAAGTTGCTGCGGGCGCGCTGGAATCGGAGCGAGTTCTCGTTGCCGTACTTGGAGATGAAGTAGTCATACAGACCGTTGACAGCCTCTCGACCGAGCATGTCTCGCGAGATGGAGTTTGGTAGCACGTCAATGACACCACAGCCAGGAGCTGTGGCCGTGACTCGGTAGGGGAAGACATAGACGTCGAGACCGACATCGTGGAAGATGCCTCGGAACGCCGCAATCATCTGGAGAGCCAGCACATCCTGTCGGCAATCATCACCAACCTTGAAGATGGCAGACTGCCACACTTCAACCGTCTCCTCAGGGGTCTCGTGGTCCTCTCCGTCCTGCTCCTCCATCATCTCGTCCACCTCTGTCGCGCCGCCCTTGTTCTTCTTGATGCGGAAAGTTGCCATGTACGGCGCCTTGGCGTGACTCTGCAGGGGCTTGCCCGACTTGCGGTCGATACCAATCACCACGCCGTCGGGGTTACTGGGCAGATAGACGCCGACTTCGACCTTGATCTTGCGCAGCTCCTCCTCGATCTTCTGCTTCTTCTCGGGCTTGGATCGCTTGATGTAAGGCTTGAGCTTGCCCGAGATGCCAGTCACCTCGTCAAAGAAGGCAAACTCTCGCTCATAAAAGTCTCGGTCCTCAATCGCAAAACTGTCAACCATCTTGCCCATGACCGTGTCCAGAGTTGGCTTGATCTCATCTGGGATCTGGGCATCATCATCCTTGTACGAATTGGCCTTCATGTTCCAGATGATCTGATGGGCAAACAACTGAGAGAACTGGGCAGTTTCGAGAATGTATCGTTGCACGTAGCCCAGGGCATCATATCGAAGCGACTGGACAATCTGGGGGACGTAGAAGAAAGTGACATCTACCGAGTGGCTCTCAAGAGCACGCATAGCGTACTGGATAGTGAAAGGATGATCCTCGTAGGCCGGCAAGAACATGGTAACAGCTGTGACAGGGTTCACAGGCTCCCAGTACAGAAGATACTATCAGAGTTAGTTGGCATATGCATTGACAAAACGATGACCATGTTTAAGACATACCTTGAGGTGCTGCAGGGCAACATCTTCGGGGAGGAGTCCTCCAAAGATCAGGTTGAGAGCTTCAGGCTCAGAGACAGCCTTCTCCGGCATAGTAAGGAGAAGGAACCTGATATCACGCTGAAGGCGAGGAGATGGAAACCTAGCCGCCAGCTCAAGCGCAATAGCAGGATCTTGCCACCAGGCCGTTCGCACAAGAGGCATAAGCGCAGCCTCTGTCGCCGTCTTGTTAGCTGCCGGAGCCAATGACTGGCCTGCTGCCGTGTTGAGAGGGTTGACCCAGACGGCCAGACGAGACTGCTCGTTCCTGACCAACAGATCAAGTAGCTGCTCCTTGGCCTGGAGTGACTTGGTGTTGCCAGCAGCCGGAGCGCTAATGTAAGAGACCTGCTGCAAAGCCGTGAGTACATCCGAGAGGAGTCGGATTTCCGTCTTCATCTGCAGGATGTTGCTTCCAAACGACCACTTGGGCGAATATTTGAACCAGGCCAGGCCAGCCGACAAGAGTCTTTCCTTGAGTCTCCATTGCGCACCCGGTTTGAGAGTGTTGCTAGTTCGCAGAACTCTGAGACCAAACAGGACGATGGAGAATCGAATCTCTCGGGCCATGGGGTGGGTTGCGGACTGCTTGATAGCATCGAGCGTAAGATCAAGTATTCTCAGAAACACTCTCTGGATGTCGGGGCTTCCATGTCTCGTAGCATTGAAGTGACTGGCAAAGAACTGAAGCAGTCGGACATGAGGTGAGAGAATGTCATGTACCAGTTGCTTCTTCTTTGCCAGTGCATCCAGCTCGCTAGGCGCGAATTCCTCCTTCAAGAAGAAGGGGTCGATATGGTTCAAAGTTGGGCTGAACAAGCCAACCTTTCTGGCAAGTGTGAACTCCCATTGCTGAGCGATCTCGTTCAAGAGCTTCGGTTCCAGTCTTGGATTTTCGTTCATCACACCAAGCCATAGAGAAACTCCCAGCTTAATGGACTGTTTAGTGAACAGAGCGAACGGGATGCTCACGAGGTAATGGGCAATAGCAGCCTCATCCTTCTCGGTGCGACACAACAGAGCTGCTGCCCTCCGAAGGATATCTCGGACCTCATTAATGGCAGCACTCTTCTTGCTCAGGATTCTAGCCTCGATATGAGCAAGCGCAGTGGTTGCATTGGCGCTCTCCTTTACTGATGACTGCACAAAGGACAAGCGGCGGTTGTGATTCATGAAGCTGATCAGCTCTGAGCCGCGATCCGGAAGAGTCTCGCCGTATCGGTACTCTTGGCGAGTTGTGTACTGCGCCACAAAGTCCGATGCCGTGTTGATGCTCGAGTTACCGATCTTGTCCATCGACTGCAGGCGGTTGTCCGTCGAGGGGATGATAGAGCCAAGTTCAAGAGCGAACGATCGCCCAAGAGAAACATGACCATAGGCTCCCTCGTCGTTGAATTCAGAGAGATAGGTCTGCAGAAGCCCCTTAACGTCGAGAGGAGCCAGGTTGATGGCAGCGTTGACCCAGACCCTGGCTTTGCGGTTGAGAACATCCACCGTCCACCTGCGGAAATCGTAGTCATCTGAAAGTTGGACGGTCACTCCACCAAGCTCGGATTCAAAGATGGACCGGGGATCATACAGATCCGTCTCTGCCTCCAAGCAGCTGGACCACATGAGAGAAAGGAGTTCTAGCAAAGCAAACAGAGACGATCTGTGGCAAAGAGCCGCAGGGATCTGTTGAAGAATCCGGTCTGCGCAGGCAAATGCGGCTTGCTGGACTCGCTCAATACGGTGGCAGCAGCTGCAAAAGATGGTTGCAAGCTGCTCAGCAGCGTACTGAGCAGAGAAGGTCGCCTCGCCTCCTGCCAGAGTCTTGTCAATGTATCTGTCAACCACGGCAGCACCAACACCCTCCATAGCATTGCTGACGTCGCCCTTTGACATGCTTGGTTCCAGGAAATAAGACACAACCTTGGTGCAGTCACCCGAGTCGGCGCGGAGGTATTCCATGAGGTACGCAGCCTGCAAGAAGATGACCTTGCGGTAACTCAGACTCTTAATCTCGTTGGCCTTACTAGGAACGAGGTCACTCAGAAGCTTCTTCTGCAACGACTCCCGGTCGTTGCTAAAGCCTCGTCGCAGAACGGTATTGAGTTCAATGTCACTTTCAACTTGCTCGCCTCGTTGATCCGCGACAAGAGGTGGGGAGTGAATGGAAATGATCCTCAACTCATTGAGATACTGCTTCCCACGGTCCGTGTTGGTGGTGAATCCATGGACAACGATGTTGAACCAGGCATCTCGAAGCAGAGAGTAAGTCTCATCGTCGGTCACAGGCTCAGAAGCAAAGTCGTTGCTGGCCATGAAGGTTGCGAGGGGGTGCAGAAGCTCAGCAATCTCCTTGGCAGCCATCTGCACATCAGATTCCTTGGCATGGCTCGTTGAGTGAGCATCACCAAGTCCAATGATGCTGTCTAGCAAGTGCTCAAAGTAGATATCAAAGAGCTGAGAGTCGCGTCGGAGGTTGGCAGAGATGAAGGTACGAGCGTTCCTCACCTAAAGTTGTTAGTGAGCTGATATGAACGGAATAGATCGGACTTACGGCTTCTAGAAGGAACAGCTGGTTCTCCACGACGCCAGTATGGCAAAGTCTGGTAAACAACTTGAGCAGAGAGCGAAACTCAAGCTGTCCACCCTCCAAGGCCAAAGCAGCTGCTCCGCTGATGATGCGAGCATCTACACCAGTGTTCACCTTCTCAAGCTTCTGTTGCAGCATGGACTGAGCAAGGGCAGTAATCTTCTCGTCCTTGAAGGCGGCAGCGATTCCGCAGATGGTCTGCACAACGTTGCCAGAGACAACGGCAGTTTCCTCCTCGCCATACATTTGGAGGGAAATCGAGCTGCCGATAGACTGGCGGTTGGTATAGATAGGGTTGAGGGCCCCATCGCTGGCTGTTCCATCAAGTTGCCCATTAGTGAATGCCTGCTCAGAGCCAGGGCTCAGCACATTGCCCAAGGTATAGAGGGTGCTGATGACAGCATCCTTGGAAAGCATCTTGAGCACGTAT